GAAGGGACAGCCTAGCTGACGTCTCTATCCGATGCCTCATGGACATTTCAAACTTAGCTCCACATCATTTCCACTAGGCTGTTCATGCTCCATCTCATGAATGTCACTGCCATTCACCCAAGCCACAGTTCTGGGTGTCATAATCTCACACTCCACTCAGTCAACCATTACCTATCAATTCTACCTTCTAATATAACTTAAAGGTATATATTAGATTTCACCAATATACCTTCAGTGAAAATCCTTTGAAACTTCCCATTGCCTTAAGGGTAATACCTAATCCTTCTTCCCATGGTCTGTGAAGCCCTAAATGATCTGGCCTCTGCTCATTTCAATCCACTGGGTTTTTCTCAAACCCTAGAAATCACTAAGCTCCTTCCTGCCTCCAGGGTTTTCTCACATGCTCCTTCCTTTGCCTGACAGTTTCTCCCACTCCCAACCCAGTTCCATCCTACTCTGAGATCGAAAGATCACTTTTTCAGCTCAGATTAAGACCTCCAGTTATACACTCCTATTAAAAAATGCATCGTTTACTACGTGGCAACAATTTTCTACACTGAAAAAAAACAAAGCATTTGCCCTACAGAGATTACAATCTAGTCGTGAAGGAGGAAATAAAGCTTGAGGTCCATGGCTTGTCTAGACCACACTTCTGTGCTTTGTGCTCCCTTTCAGATGGCCTATCATAGACCAGACAATAAATATCTATTAAATGAGTTAGAAAGTTTAATATTTAAGTGAATGTACATTGCCTAACTTTTACTACCACAAAAAAAAAAAAACTTAGGCTTATCAACAACTTACTAAACAAACATCATGTAATGAAATAACCAGTGGAAAGCAAGCTATTGTCATATTTATGCCTCTAATATTTGAGCACTACCACCACCAGCCAGGCATATCCAAGATCCTGGGAATATACATCAAATGATACAGCTGTGAACAAAACATATATGGTCCCTATCTGCAAGAAGCTTGCATTCTAATGGGGAAGACTGACAATAAAGAAATAAAGTAATAGATATAGAATACATTAGGCTGTTGGTAAGTGCCAAGAAAAAAACAGAGTAAAGGACAAAAGAGTGACCAAGGGGTTGGGTTGGGAGGGGTGGTCCAGCACACTTTGGTTAGGCAAGGCCAATCTGAAAGCAGTAACAGAGGCCTGAGTGAAGAAGAGGAGTGGAGAAGTAAACCAGGAGGCAAAGGAATAGCAGATGCAAAAGCCCTGGGACAAAAGCACGCAGCCATTTGGAAGACCAGTGCAGCAGGACAGGAGCAATGGACAGAGTTGATACAGCCCCTGGCAAGCGTCCAGAATGTGACTTACAGATCACGCTGGTGGACATGTGAAGAATAAACTATAAGGAAACCAGTTTCAGTTACAAGAATCTCAGTGAGAGGGTAGTGGTGGAGACCGTGAGAAGCGGTAGGGTAAAGGATCCATCTTAGAAGTCAGATCTGGTGTTGGCTTAGATCTGTATTCTATTGGATAAATGTTTCTGCTTGCTACACTATTGCACAGGACCAAATGAGTTTCCAAAGAGAGAAAATCTAATTCCAGATCAGTAGCTCTCAATCCTGCTATCCATTAGAATAGGATATGAAGCTTTTGAAACATATAGACTAACAAATCCCATATGCCTAAAATTCTAAATCAGAGACTAAGATGAGTCTTTTTAAATTTTATTTATTTATATTTATTTATTTTTAAGATGGAGTCTCACTTTGTTGCCCAGGGAGAATACAATGGCATGATCATAGCTCACCACAACCTCAAACTCCTGGACTCAAGCGATCCTCCTGCCTTAGCTGCCACCAGAATAGCTGGGACTGCAGACGTGTGCCACCACACCTGGCTAATTTTTTCTATTTTTGGTAGAGATGGGGTCTTGCTCTTGTTCAGGTTGGTCTCAAACTCCTGACCTCAAACCATCCTCCCACCCCAGCCTTCCAGAATGCTAGGATTATAGGTGTGAGGCAACTTGCCTGGCCTTTTAATTTCTAAATTAATCGCAGATGGTGTCAATTCTTGGCTGGGGTTGAGAATTCTAGCTTGAAATTCTTAAAAGAAATACATAAAATTAGACAAGCTGAAAATAATTTGCATAATTTGACTTGTCTAATTTCAATGAGTTTATATAAGGCAAAATTAAATTTCTCACAGGCCTGGGAAAGTTAAAATCTGCAGCAAAGCCAAAAACCACTCTAGCTATAAGACCCAAAAGACCAATAACAATTTGAAACAAAAAATAAATTTGTTTAGTTCTCTAGTTAGGTGATTTAAAATTTAATTAATCCCTTTTAGTATACTAGTATACATAGCCAAAGAGATAGTAATATCTTGCTAATACACTTAAATGCATTTTACAAATGTCAAAGTCTTTAAGAGACAGGAATAAAAATGCTAATTCTGAGTTATTTAACACAGACATTTTGTAAGTAAATAAGACACTCAGCTATACAGATAGTTAAAAGACCAAACAATTTATTTAGGCAAACAAGAATTATGAACCTCGTATAGTAACAGGTAAGTTCGTCATTAACAAATGATACAACAAAATCTAAACATATTTCATATGTCTGAATTCCCATGAAAATGAAACAAAGCAAAATCAACTGTAGAACAATTAATCAGATATTCTCCTTTTACACATATATGAAGTTATGTAATATATATGAAGTTGCCATTATAACTAGAATATCTTTAACAGTTATCTTTAGATAAATGATTTATTCTTTTAAAAAAAGCCTAATAACCCTGTAAAATGACTTCACATCCCAAAAGGGCTTCTTTGAGCCATCTACAACTAGATAATCTAAAATAAATGTCTTAACTTTCCTTAACACTGTCCTAAAAAAATAGAATGCTAAACTTTATATGTGATCTCAATGACTTAACAAATTCTTAATTCATCATAAGAGCTGCAACATAAAATGATCGAAATCTTTGCTGGCGTTTTAGGGGTCCCTGTCACTAAAAACTGTCCTTTCAGCCATCAATAGTTCTAAGGAAATCTTTAGTATGCAATGACACTGAGGAACCGCTGGAGGGCAGCAATAACCCATGTGCTTTAAAAAAAAAAATCTTTCATTTTCCCCAATTTGAGGCACCTTGCATCAAAACTTACAAGCCAAAATTTCATTACAGATGTGTTTGAAGATTATTCACTTAAAAAGTTATAACAATCTTACTATATTTTTTAAATTATCGATGTTGCATTACTTGTAAGTTTTGGGCATTCAGAAGAATTAAGGCTCCTCACTCAAGGACTCTTTTGCTGAACTCTGCCCACACACTCTTGAATTGCATCTCTCCCTCCCCAGCCCTGGCAATTATTTACGTGACTTTTCCACAAGCCTATTAGCCTGAGGCTCATAGGTCCCCAATTAGGAAACTAGTATAAGAACTATCAGCTTCTTAGACAAACTAGGCACTCAAGAAAACTTGAATACTTGAATAAAAAGATCAAAATTTCAAAAACAGTGTCACATGTTTGATAACGAAAAAATTTTAATTCCAGTGACACAAACAAAACCAGGCAAACATGCATACAAACAGTCCTTTAAAATGTCAATTTAAAAAAGTCAAACACCTGTCCACACTATCCTTACTATAAAACACAAGAAACACAAATGAAGCAACACTCAGGACAGCAGACAAACTAATGGTCGGAAGTCTACTTCCCTCTCTCCATGCTGACCTTCCAGCAGGGATAATAATTTTAAGATTTACAGTATTAACAGTGCCAGACACTACACTAAACTTCTTTCATTTAAGTAATTCCTTCATTCCTCATACTAATCCCGTGTGTACATATTATTACCACCTCCACTTGGCAGATGAGAGAACTAAAGCACAGCCCTAATGTGATAAAAGCAGGATTCACAGAGCTGTATGACTGCAAAGCCTGAGGAAAGATAGAGCTGCCCTCCTTATTCACCCGCTTCCGCAGATTCGACCAACACACATCAAAAATATTTGGGGGAGAAATTATAAATAAGAGTAAAAAATACAGTATAACAACTATTAACATAGCACTGACATTGTATTAGGTATGATAAGTAATATACTGGTGATTTAAAGTACACAGGAGGATGTGCTTTATATGCTATTATATAAGGGACTTGAATATCCTAGTATGAGTGGGGGAGAGTCCTGGAACCAATCCCCTACGGATACCGAGGGAGGACTGTACTTAGAAAGAAAATCTAGTGAAAAAAATTCTATAACTTCCTCTCCCATCCTTCCCCCAAAGACCAGCGTCCCGCAAACACCACTCTGCGCCCAATGGTAAGCCGCGAGTACAATCCAGCCACAAATCACTGCACCCCAAAAGTCAAGGATGCATTAAGGATACCAACAGCAAGGATCTTCCCCTCCAGCGTTTCCGGGCTGACCTGCCGCCCGGAGCACTCCAGCAACTTCCAGAGCCCCTGGACTCCCATGAGGCAGGTGTGTCCTCAGGGCGGATCTCGGGAGAACTTTTATTCTAATTCTTCTACAAACGGCTGCTCCACCGCCCAGGCCCCCAGGAGGAGGCTCTCCCTGCTCCCACTCAGGAAAGACGGGAAATAATACAAAAGCCACGGTTTTCCAGGCGGAACCGCGTCGACGAGAGCGTAAGGAAGGGGGAAAGCCCAGGCTGGAGCGCTTCCCCCCAGCGACTGACACCGCGCCCCGGAAGAACGACGGGACCAGAGAAAGGCCTGTGGCGAGAAGCAGGGCCTCGTCTCGCCCAGAGCTTTAGCCCAAACGCCTGCACTTGTGCGGAAACCGCGGTGAGCGGGCACCGCAGGCGAGACAAGCAACCAGAAGATGCCCCTCCAGTACCGTTTGCCTCTACTGTGGGTCCTCAAACCCAGGAGACGTCAGGCCTCTAGCTTTCAGAATAATAAGATAAGCCGGATGGAAGTCCCGCCTCCCTACGTGACGCATATTTGCGGCGCCCGCAGCACTCCGGAAGTGGGTGAGCACTCTAGTTCCCGCGCGGTGTTTGTACGTTGTACGTTAGGTACTTCTCCCACCTGGCATCCTGTCGGTTTTATACGTTAAAACGATGTGCAAAAGTACCTTTTTGCGGAGGTGACGATTTTCTACAGTTCTCCTCATTGTGCTGCTAGTTGTGAAGACTCAATACTAAATACTGTTTTTCGCGTGGACAGACAACGGAAATGTGGATGCTCCCTTTGTGTTTTTCAACTAAGTATTTATTTATACGATAGGACGTAGGAACTAGATATTACTACAGTTTAAAGCCTTAACCTATGAAGTATATATAGTTTAGTTGTCTGCAGTATCTAAAACTTAGAATTCCACAGCTCGTAAGTCAGAGGTTACCAGAAACCAGTTGCCAGAGTAGCTCCTGGAAGACCACAGCTCAGATTCAAATCCCTCAAGGTAGCCTTCGGCACTGCTGAAGTTATATTTGTTAAGAATTTCTGTGTGCCCGCTGGGATCCGTGGCTTACGCCTGTAATCCTAGCACTGGGAGCCCTAGGTGGGAGGATCACTTAAGACCAAATGTTGGAGATCAGCCTGAGTAACATAGCAAGACCACATCTCTAAAAGAAAGAAAGAGACTCTTAGTAACAAAAACAGCAACCCCTTCAATGTGAATAATGTGCTAGTTTGCAAAGTGGTTCTACCACATCTCAGTTGCCATCCAGTCCTGGGTGTAGCGGGACGGAATTTTATTTATGAGAATGAAAGTCAGAGGACTAAAGGAATTGTTCAGGGGCTTGTTAAACTGTTGGAGAGTGGCAGGGTTGGAACCTAAGCTACCTGTCTTCTAATCCGTTGCTTTAACTTGGATTCAAACCAGCTTGTGGAGGGAAACATACAGTGGAGAAACATTCTGAAAACCCCAACCTTTGATATCCTGGGAAAACGCTAAAAATCATGAACTGGAAGAGAAAACAGTAAGAAATGAAGTAAATGAGGAAACTGGAGAAGACCAACACTTAATGGTAAAGGAGAAAACTGAGAAGGAAAACCTGAAAAGAAATGTGTAGCAAAAGATATTTATCAAAGTTAAGAAACAAATGTTATACTAGAAGAAACATGGACTCATAAACAGTTTAAAGAGGGGGGATTTATTCATCTCAGTTTTCTTTATTTTGTAAGACAGTGTCTCACTCTATTGCCTGGGTATGCGGGCAGTGGCATCATCATAGCTCACTGCAACCTCCAACTCCTGAGCTCAAGGGATTCTCCCATCTCAGCCTCCCCAAGTGCTAGGATTACAGGTGTGAGCAACCATGCCCAGCCCTATTCATTTCAATTGATGCAGAACAACCACTCAAAATATTCAAAATCCATTTATATTAAAGGGGAAAAAAATAACACAATTAAAAAGAAAGAAAAATCAATTGAGTGTGCTGGCACACACAGGTAGTCCTAGCTATTCTGGAGGCTGAGGCAGGAGGATCACTTCAGCCCAGGAGTTTGAGGTTGCAGTGAGCTATGATCATGCCACTGTACTCTAGCCTGGGCAACAAAGCAAGGTACAGTCTCAAAAAAAGAATTTCTGTGTCTGTGCGTCCATCTGTAATCAGGGCATCAAACCAGTCTTGCAGACTAGTAAGGATTAGAGATGTTGTACATAGCACTAGTATAAATGATAATATTGGCATATTTGTTCAAATTTGAACTATTTAAGCTAAATTCAAACTTGGTGAAAAGGATGATTTAAAGGAGCAAGTAGTTGTTTTTTAAAGGAATCCTTTATAACAAAAGTATATGAGAAATCAGTTTTAGCAAAACCATTTCTATGCCCAAACACATGGTTCACGGTAGCCTTGTTTAGTTGACCTAGTCACAACTAAACTTTTACGATGAATAATCCTGACAAAGTGCTTTTTGCATTTCCTCCCTATGTAGTCCCCAGAAATTATTCCTGCTTGTGTTTTACTGAGGTTAATAAATTGCCTGTTCGATTTTTGTCTTTTCTTCACAGTAAACTGTAAATTTGTTGAAACCAGGAACTATCTTGTTGACTGTTATATCCCCCACTCCCAACACTTACCAGATATTCCATAAATATTGCCTAAATGACCTCTTAAGCCTCCAGTCTAAAACTCCTCAGTGCACCTTATACTCTGCTGAAAGAATTTTCTCGGAGATCAAGATGTTTGTTCAGATCTCATTTGAGCCATATATTAATAACAGCCTTGTGTTCTGAGCTGAATTGTGTCTTCCAAAATTCATTTCTTGGAGCCCTAACTCCCAGTACCTCAGAATGTGACTGTATTTGAAGACAGGACTTTTAAAAGTGATTAATTAAAATGAGGCCATTAGGATGGGCCCTAATCCAATCTGACTGATGTCCTTATAAGAGGAAATTTAGACATACTGAGCAACTCCAGTGATGCCTGCACTGCCTGAGCCCAGAAGAAAGGCCACATGAAGACACAGAAAAGTTGGCCACCTGCTAGTCAAGGAGAGCAACCTCAGAAGAAACCAAGCCTGACAACACCTTGACGTTGGACTTCTAGCCTCTAGAACTGTGAGGGAATGAATTTCTGTTGTTTAAACCACCTAGTCTGTGGTATTTGGTTATGGTAGCACCCTAGCTAATCAAGATACCCTATAATTGTAGGCAAGTTTCTTCAGAAGTGAGAACCTCAGTTTCGACCAGTGAAATGGGAATGCCACCAATGTCCTAGAGTTATTCTGAGATCATCAATTTAACATGAAACACCTAGGAATGGTGCTCAACTTTGTTGAGTGAACAACTGGGCAGGGAGAATATGGGTAAAATTCAGATGCAGAATGTGATGGATCCCAGTGCGGCTGCCTGAGGCCCTCCCGTGCCTGGGAAATGCAAGTTGGGAAGTATTATAGCTGCTTCACCAGGTTGGCCTAATGATGGGACATAATTCTTTCACAGAGATAGTAGGGAAAGTAAGAGTTACAGGATTTGATCTAAATGAACTTTTTTTTCTGCCTGGGAGCTGGGTAAAAACACAGCCACTGTAGATACTTGAGTACTGTAACTACTTTTCAAAACCAAAACAGGCCCAGTACAGTGGCTCACACATGTAATCCCAGCACATTGGGAAGCTGAGTCAGGAAGATTGCTTGAGGCCAGGAGTACAAGACCCCAGCTCTACAAAAAATTGTTAAAAAATTATCCGGGCATGTTGGCACACATCTGTGGTCCCAGCTACTCAGGAAGCTGAGGTGAAAAGATCGCTTGAGCCCAGGAATTTGAGGTTACAATGAGCTATGGTGATGCTACTGCACTCTAGCTTGAGCAACAGAGGGTGACCCTGTTTCAAACAACAACAAAACAGAGCAACATTTCTTGAATATAAAATATTCCTTTAAAGGAACAACAGCTAAGAGATGTATATTTGATTTACAAGGAATTAGCTCCTTTAGGTGCTCTTTAAAGGGCTCTCTATAAAGAATCTGAATAGTATTATAAAATATACATCTTTTGAAATAATAGCAAGCTCTTAATAGCACTTCTTATCTACAAGGCACTGTTCTAAACACTACATGTATTTGCTATTTATTCTTTAGAACCATTATAAAGTACGTCCTCTTATCCCCATTTTACTAATGAGGAAATAAGCACATAAAAATTAACTTAAACTCGCCCAAAGTAATATAGCTAGTAAGTGCAGAGCCAGCATTTGAACATTCATTGCATCTATGGAGACTCCTAAGAAGAGTTGATCAAGAAAGCAAATATGACAAGAGTGTCATATTCAAAGAGAAGTATGTAGTAACTCATGCTTACAGTTTCTGGAAAAACTGTCTCACTAAACCTAAACCTCAGTGTGCTCTTAATAACTGCCAAAGTTTTAAGCCAAGTTATTAAGTGATTATCTGTATCAAGACTTTTGTAAAAATTGATTATGGTCAATAAAGAGTCTGAATAAACTCATACTCTTTTCCTAAATGTCACTCTATTCTTTAATGTATTATGTTGCCTTTTTCTCCTTTCCTCTTGGCTCTTCCTACCTTCCTCTTCTCCAAAATATTCTGTTGACTATATGAAATTGCTGATACTCAACCATGTATGACCTACAAAAATAACTTCCTTTGCTTAAACTAATATAAGAATTGAATTTTCTATTTCATATTACATTAGAAATCAAAATTATAGTCATCATGCATATTGTTTCAACGATTACAAAAGTAAGATTCAAGACAGTTTCCTACAATACACTAGGTTAGGCAGAAATAACAACTGTCATGTACTTCAAACAAAGTTTTAAGGGTACTCCACACATAAAACAAAGGCTCAAAAATATTCACATGATTAAAAGTAGAAAACAAAACTTTATTTGATGAAAACTTTAAAAGTTCCAGTATGAAGTAACAAAATCAACAACCTACAAATTTCTTTCACTCCTTTCCATTTCAAGCAAAATATTCTCTTCAGAAAAATGACCATTTCATAATATATATTCCCTTCTGTAGGCTATGTATGTATGAGTGGATAAATGGATATAAAATTCAAGAGAAAAAAATGGAAGTATTTTAAAAATAAAAATCTGAACCCCCTCCTTGAGGTGTATTGTGATATGGTTGCCAACATATTCAGCACCTTGTAATGACCAAGTTACTGATTTGAGTCCTGAAACAAGCCCCTGAATAAAAGAACAAGAGATCCTAGTCATGTGAATCACAGGTAGGCAGCAGAAGAAAAACTGACAGCAGCTTGAGAAGACCTCAAATATATGAAATCCACACTTCCGAAATATTTAACACTCACTTCAAACAGCTAATTGTCTCTAAGGTTTACAAAAGGAAATAGCTCAGAGTCTGAAATATGGATAATTGTCCTCTGAGTGACGTGGACATTCCTAATGCATCTTCAATGCTGTTGTCAACTCCATATTGAGGAACCAATCAAATATCAGATCTCATTGTACAGATAACCTTGGGTATAGAAACTTCTGATGCCACTTGTTCTTTTACGTTATCCCTAAAACGAAGTTCATTCTAGACTTATAGAAGTCATACCAAGTCAAGAAAGTCAAAAATATCTGGATCAATGCACTAAGTCACTCATTTGCACCAATGAAAGGATCAGTTTCTTACATCTTTTCTCTTTTGCCTCAGTAGTGAGAATCCTGAGAAAATTAACCAGGAAACAAATGAGGCGGGCAAGATATTGCTACAAGTAAAAGAATTATTAGACTCAAAATAATTTTAAATGAGTTTTGACCATGAATGAAAACTAGAAATGGACAGCCCCAATTTCTTTTTAAGGGCAGATGGTACCTTACATCTTGATCTTAGGAATAAACTATCTGTAACAAATGTCTAGGAATCAAGTCATAAGTCGCTTCATGCTTAAGTATTTCAAATATTGATGCTGTTAAGTGAATTTGTGTTTGAGTTATTTAGACAGCAGCTGTAATTTTATTGGATTTTATGAAACTTTTTGTCCAAATTATTTATATACTCTTAACTTTAAAAGGACAATAATCTGTGCTTATCTGTTTATATATCTGAAATCACCCATCATAATCATATACAATTTATTTACTGGAGAACTACAAGGTTATGTTTTATACCACAAGATCTGTTCCTATTTAATGTAGACTTACTAAAATCTTCTACCTTCTTAATGCAGTCCTGTATATAACAGTTGTATGTATAATACCAATTTTTCAGTACCCAGCATAGTCAATCATTCCCATCATAATCACTGTAACCCTGGTAGCCACTGTTCCTTCGCTCATGGATACTAGACATCTTTTTCCATGCCGAGTCCTGATGGAAACTAGCACTGAAAGACCGGCCCAGACGCCCATGCTGCTTCTTGGAAATATTGTCTTCACTCTCCGATTTGGCAATTCCCTGGGCATGTGTTGGAGGTTGTGATTCTTGTCTAATGTTTCCAAATGGAAAATTCCAAAGGCCAAATCTTTGCCAACTAAGTCTCTGGAATGCTATGATGCAATGCAAATTTCCCCCAACCTAAACAAGAAAAAAAGTTGGGTGAAGAAAATGAAGAGAAATTAATTATACTCATTTGTGGGCCCCTATGAACTCCTGGTTTTTTCCTCCTTCACCTGCCTCAAAACAGTATTTTTCCTTCCAGACATCATCAGAGAACATTATCCTTCATCTTTCCTGATGGCTGCCTTTACAAAATATAACAATGACCACAGGAGCCAAAATACCTTTCCCACCCCTGCCTCTCTACCACTCACTCTCAACATACACTGTAACCTCCCCATCTGCCTAACTCAAATACCAACATCATCCCTCCTCCTCTCCTATTCTTCATACCTTCTTTTTTTTTTTTGAGACAGAGTCTCGCTTTGTTGCCGAGGCTAGAGTGAGTGCCGTGGCGTCAGCCTAGCTCACAGCAACCTCAAACTCCTGGGCTCAAGCAACTGGGACTACAGGCATGCGCCACCATGCCCGGCTAAGTTTTTCTATATATATTAGTTGGCCAATTAATTTCTTTCTATTTATAGTAGAGACGGGGTCTCGCTCTTGCTCAGGCTAGTTTTTTTTTTGTTTTTTTTTCTTTTTTTTTTTTTTGAAACCTCACTATGATGTAATAGGCTAGTTTTGAACTCCTGACCTTGAGCAATCCACCCGCCTCGGCCTCCCAGAGAGCTAGGATTACAGGCGTGAGCCACCGCGCCCGGCTCTTCATACCTTCTTATATGCATACTATTATATCAATGGGATGTCTACTCAATCTACAGTGTCTACCATTCCCTGAGAATATTCCCCCAAAGCCTTGTTTATATACATGGCTCTACCCCATGGCCACAGTTAATTTGGCCCAAACTGGGTTAAGACTGGAACTGGGCCCAAGACAGATCATTCTAGGTCTACTGTTCATCTAAAAGGAAGACATAAATTGAAAGATGATGATATTCAATAACTAAATAATCAGACAAAAGGAGAACTAAAAACAATAAATACCTCCCCAAAGAATGAGAGAGACACCTAGCTACAATACTTGGCCCCTACTATCATTCCAATACCTGGTACTATCCCTTTATGACTTCAGGCTGTCCTCCTTGCCCTTGGGTTTCAAAGATACTCCTGTATCCTTAAAATAATGTTCACTTTTCTATCTAAGATGGTCCGAACTGGGTTTCTGTTATTTATAGCCTAAAGAGCACTGAGTAAAATAGTGCATTTTGGTCAGCTGGGAAATGCTTTCAAAAACAAGAGTGTTCTTCTTACCTTCTTTGTTTTTCGATACTGCAGCCCCCTCTCTAAGTGCCGGATATCTAGGTATTCTGGATTTTGAGTGTTCAGATCAGTAACAATATCTGCCCACCTAGAGTTAAGAAGAAAGGATGAGCACAATTTTCCTTAAGTCCAAAGTATCATTTTACTGGAACATTTCACATGATCAAGTTGCTGTAATATTATCACAGCAATAATTGTCAACTCTCTTATCGCAGTATTGTATAATCTCTTAACTGTAATAACATCTTGCTTTTATGGCAGTTCGGTTTATCCAACCATTGCCAAGGTTCTCAGTTTAAAATTGGTAATTTTTCCTATAAAATAAATATATATCAACATGTTAGGTGATATCCTGCAGGCTAAAGCAGCAACATGCTATATTTCCTTTTTAAATACAGTCAAATTTTAAAAGAATTAGAAGTTAATATGTCTTTATTAAGAGATAACATGAATGTGCAGGAAATCCAAGGAAAATATGAATACAAAACAATTCTAGCACTAATAAGTCAATTTGGTAAAGATGTAAGATTCAAAGTCTATGTAGAAAAATCAATTGTACTTTTTGTATTGAACCAGAAAAAATGGGAAAATGAACATTTTTTAAAAATCAATTTATAATAGCATCAAAAAATATAACACAAAAAAGATATATAAGACTCTATCTTGAAAAATGCAAAATATACCTGAGAGAAACTAAAACTTTATTTAAGTGGAGATACAGTCCATGTTCGTAGACTAGAAGATTCCACATTATTATGATGTCAATTCTCCCCAAAATAAACTATGAATTTGATGGCTTCTATCCTAACCAAAATCTCTCAACAGGCTTTTTAACAAAAACCAACAAATTATAACATTCTTATACAAAATCCAAGGTCATAGAAGAGCCAAAACAGGGGAAGAATTTACACTTACAAAATAGGTGCGATGTGCACCACCTGAGGATAGGACACGCTTGATGTTTTGGTAAGGGGGGGGCAGGGAATGGCAGGGGCAATATATGTAACCCTAACAATATCTGTACCCCCATAATATGAAAAAATAAAAAAATTTTAAAAAGTGCAAAAAAAAAAAGAAGAAGAGCCAAAACAATCTTGAAGAAGAAAAATTCCGAGGATTCATGCTACATAATTTCAGGATTTAGTATAAACAACAACAGTTAAGAGTGTGGTACTGGTAAAAGGATAGACAAACAGATTAGTGGAACAGAGTTCAGAAATAGACCACACATATATGGTCAACTAGTTTTTATTAATAGCAGAGGTACCCAAGAAATTAAACAAGGAAAGGAAAATCTTTGTAAACAAATTATACTGGAATAACTGCATAAGCGTTGGGAGAAGAAAATCAAAGTTGACCTCTACTTCATACCACACTCAAAAATTAATTGAAATAGTTCATAAACCTAAACATAAAATCTAGAAAGCTTCTAGAAGAAAATAGGAGATTATCTTTGAGGTCTTGGGGTAGGTAAAAATTTCTTTAAAAGGCACAAAAAAGCACATAAAAACAAAATTGATAAAATGGATTTAATCAAAATTAAGAACTTGTGTTCATCAGGACTTCTGTTCATTAGGAGGGTACAACCACTTTGGAGAACTTTCTCAGTTTCTTAAATACATATATATCTTATGAATCAGTAATTTCACTCCTAGGTATCTACCAGGGAGAAACAAAATATACATCCTCAAAAAGACTTGTACAATAGAATGTGGTATATCCACACAAAGGAAAATGATTTGGCCAGATAAAGGAATGAAGTTCTGATCCATGCTACAATATGGATGAACCTTCAAAACATTGTATTAAGTGAAAGAAGCCAGACATTAAATGCTGTATGTTGTATAACTCCATTTATATGAAATGTCCAGAATAGGCAAATCCATAGAGGCAGAAAGTACATTAGTGGTTGCCAGGAGTTGGGGGAATGGTCAGTGATTGTTTATAGGTTTGGGATTTTTTTGCAGGGTGATGAAAACATTCTGGAATCAGTGATATTTGGTGCACAATTCTGTATACTAAAATCCACTGTATTGTACGTTTTGTTTGGGTTTTTATTTTGAGACAGAGTCTTGCTCTGTTGCATGGGAAAGAGTGCCATGGCATTAGCCTAGCTCACAGCAACCTCAAACTCCTGGGCTCAAGTGATCCTCCTGCCTTATCCTCCCGAGTAGCTGAGACTACAGGCGTGTGCCACCATGCCTGGCTAATTGTTTCTATAGTTGTCCAGATAATTTCTTAGTTGTCCAGATAATTTCTTTGTATTTTTAGTAGAGACGGGGTCTTGCTCTTGCTCAGGCTGGTCTCAAACTCCTGACCTCGAGCAATCCTCACACCTCAGCCTCCCAGAGTGCTAGGATTACAGGCATAAGCCACCACACCCGGCCCTAAATTGTACGTTTTTAAAGGGTGAACTTTATGACACGTAAATTATATCTTAGTAAAACTGCTATATAAGTTCTTTTAAAAGACTTGTACATGAAAGTTCTTAACAGCTTTATTCAAGATAGACCAAAACTGAAAACAATCCAAATGCCCATCAACAGGAAAATGGATAACAAACTGTAACATCTTCATACAACAGAGTACTCAGCAGTAATAAACTACTGATACACGACATAACAGAGAAATCTCAAAAATGATACTTAAATGAAGACACAGACACAAAAGAAATATTGTATGATTCTATTTACATGGAATTCAAGAGCCAGCAAAATAAATCTATGATGATAGAAATCAGAACAGGGGTTGTCCATGGGCATTAATAGGAATGGAGAATGAGGGTACTTTCTGTGGTAATGAAAATGTACCATAATCTTGTTTGGGGTGGTGATTATGCAGGTGTATACAATTATCAAAACTCATTTAATTATACAGTTAAGATCTGTGCATTTCACGGACTCTAAATATTATCTCAGTTAAAGGAAATAAGGGGAAGTTAACATACTTTTTACAGTGAATGGCAGGGTGTTTTCTACTTGATTCTCCAATTAAGATCCAATATTCAACTTCCTGTGGTGAGAGAGGGCCCCTGCTAAATACAAAATACATTCAGAGTAAGCTTAATAAAGGTCATTCACTCTCTTGAGTATACTACTTTAACTATACACTAATAAAAGATATACCAATGTTTATTCAAAGACGGCATTCTTTAACCTATTAATTAAATAGACATTAGAGTTTAGGCTTGGGCAAATTTCTGAAGGTCATTAAAGAGAACTCATAAGTCAAATTTAGGCCTTAATCCACTATTCAAAATCTAGGGCTAAAAAAGGTTTTATTAATAATATACTATCTCTCGGATCCTAGAAGGAAAAAACAAAATCCTAGCATACTACCAGCATTCTTCAGCTACTCTCTTTCACCATGCATTAAAGAAGTTTCAAAACACATCCTAAAAATAAAACCTAAACCAGGGATTCACCTGGGAATTTTTAAAACACCGATTCTCTAATTCCATCCCTAGAAATGTGAATTCAAATAGATCTGGAGTGGAGTCCAAGGAGTTGCATAGTATAAAAAAAAAAACCTCAGATGATTCTTAAGTGCAGGGATGGGTGAGGAAGTTTCTTTTAAAGGATACAAAGTAGGAATAAAATCATGTTTTACATTTGATAGATGTCTGAAATAAAGTGAAGATGCAGGATGAAATCATAAAAGAAACACACAATATACCTCATTTATAAGAAATTCCCCCTTAGAGAGATGAATAAAGCATTTGAGGATTTGGAGAAACCAGGTAGTTTCCTTCTTGCTCCTCATTCAAAAGAACAGAATGTCTAGCTTCCCGGTTCTCCAAGGTCTCCCTCCTCCTACCCCTAGGGGCCTTTGAGTGGGACTCCAAGGCCAGATGGCCTCCACCCCAAAAACCCCATCCTATCCCTACATGACCAAACCACAACCTCTGGCCCTCCCTTTAGAGACAGTTACTGAGAGACAATTACAGAGCTGCTGCTCTGTCTCCCTGTCCTACTCAGCCACCAACCCCCCAATCCAGGCGTGAACAAACCAGACCCTCACTGGGCGAGGTGGCCATGCCCACCAACACCTTTCCTCAAAGTATTCATGGCTTCTTCTGTTTTCACCAATTCCTTAACTAGAACACTGTCCCCTTTGCTTTTAACTATCCTGACATAATCTCAATCCATCATGAGGAAAACTCACTAAGGAGAAAAGAGTATTTAAAACTCAGTCACCCTCTCTTTTTTAGGGACTGTCTCTTCCAAAATGATGTACGTTTACCAGTAAAGATATATAGTGGGTTTTTTAAATTTTATTTTATTATTTTTGTTTTGTTTTGTTTTTTGTTTTTGTTTTTGAAATGGCGTCTGACTCTGTTGCTAGGACTAGAGTACAGTGGTGTCATCATAGCTCACTGCAGCCTCCAACTCCTGGGCTCAAGTGATCCTCCTGCTTCAGCCTCCCAAGTAGCTGGGACTACAGGCATGAGCCAACACACCCAGCCAAGATATATACCTAATAAAATATAATAGAAATAAAAAGGCAAAGAAAGAAACAAATATAACCATGAAGGTAATAAAGTTCCTGACATTACAAACAAAAATTGTCTCTGAGCTTCCTTGCAACCAGGACAAAGTGGGGACCCAGATAAATTCCATGTTTTTCACTGTAAGAAAAAAAGATGCTTTGTAATTTACTTGGTTGTAACAGTCTTTTTGACACTTGATTCTGTACTACATTGTTCATGGGGACACTAGATGAGGCACTGAGACATAATCTGGAAAGTCTTTTCTGTTTTATAATATCATAAATGTAACAGTGACTTTTCAAATGGCTTTCTCTTGTAATGACTGAACAACAGTATCTAAGTGGATTTTTGTTAAAAGACAATTAAATAAATGAAATTCTGCAAAAGAATGAATTATAATGTTTACAGAATAGTCTAATGATGTCAGGAAAGTAGATCACAAAGCCCAATTTCAAAGAGACTTAGAATACCCCTTAATATTTCTTAAAATGCTTTCTACAACACATTTTCCTGATGAAGTATCCACATGCAACATGCAAATGCTTACCTGTATGCTTTATTAGCTTTAACAGGGGTTGCTTCAAAGCCAATTGGACAAAAATAATGATTTTGACAATGATAGATAAAAGCCAGTGATTCGTCTTTCAATCCACGCGTTAACTTTGACAAGGCCCCTGAAGCTACAAAAAACAGAACCAAACAAACAACTGAGGGCCAGCAAAGCAATGTTCATGCTTCACACAAAGGACTAGTTAAAGACTGAAAGACAGAAAGACATTACTTGGAACACGCTGACACTTCTGGGGGGAAAATAAGAAGCTATTGATAGGCAAATATTAATGATAAATGATAAATATTATTAATAGGTAAAATATTAATGAATTTATTTTCAGTTTTACCCTTTAAACTGAAATTGAGATAAACTCATTAGCAAACTAAAAAACTGAAATATGTCCTTGCTCATCAAAACCTAATAATACACAAAGTTGTCAATGAAATTTTAATTACTATATAAAGCCTAGTGCCTAGTGTGTATAGCAATGGTCTCAACTTTTCTGGTTGTACACATCCAATGCAAGATGCAAGTTTACCCAGTCACTAAAATTTTCTGAATAAGCATGCCCAATATAAGCACATTTGTTTATAAACTATATAAATATACTACTGTACTAATATGCCTTTATAAAAGATATAGCAAAAGAAATAATTTTAAATTAGATTATAATATAAACATGCTAATATGTATGTAGCATGTACATCCTAATTTAAAGACTACTGATGTATATGGATAAATATAAATTCTAGATAATAAACAAGTCCCCAAAATGCAAACTTCTACTACTAACACACACTTTAATCTTTCCACTAAAGTTACAGAGATAAGAGGATCAGCTTTTACAAGCCAAGTGATGAGATAACATCTCTACAGAGAAGGGCTGGTAGTATCACCACAACCTCTTATAGCCACTCTTCCTTTTATATTTCCCATAACTATAATATTATCGTTGTCAAGAATTTCAAAACTATTACCAGAATAAACAAGTTTTTATCAGCACTCGGTACTCAAAACCATTAACTGAGGTTTCATTAACTTGCTTCTCCCAGAAGAAACTAAATTATTCATTAACAAATAGCCCATTAAAACTGAAAATCCTAAAAATAGTTGAAGTAGATAAAAGCCTGCCAGCCACCGTTTCAATGATCGACTTTCTGGCCACCAAAATAGCTGAAGACCACAAAGAACAGCAGGTCAATGCCTGCCGCAGAGACAAGGGAGGTGACAAAGTCAGAAAAAGATCACTCTCTGAAATAAAAGACAGTAAATATAGCATTTAATACATTAAGGTAGTCATCCAAGAAAGTAATTCTGTATATGAGAAGACACAGAAATGTATTACTGATAGAAGCTAAATTATAAATGTATTACAGATAGAAGCTAAATTCAGAATGAAGTTCAGTCTATACTTGAGGATATCTAAAAATCTGAAACTTAAGTGACAAAGCAAGCACTACTCAATCCAGCCACGATCCATACTGTGTAGAGAAAGGAGAACAAATTACGGGAATCAGCTGGCCTGTTGCACTCTTGAGAGATGTCCTGAGCAGCCAACAAGAGAATTCTGATTCATTTGGTATTATACAGGGTGTCCCAAAATTCGCCAAACATAAGGAAAGTGTAAATTGTAGCTAAATGTACCTTTATTTTAAAAATATTCATTACAAAATTTTACAAAATTTTTCCTTTGTATGCAGACTTTTGGTACACCCTGTTTTTCTCACTTTAATACATTAACATTTTGACATTCTTTCAATTTGTTTATTATAAGCTTATCCTGTAGAGCTTGATCATCTATAGAGGACCTGTAGACAACTCTAGAAGAACTCGCTAGAAGGTATTTTTACACCTTCAAAGATGAAAATAGCTTCAGAAAGTATAATAAGTAATACAGCAACCTAACATCACCATGCAAGGCCCTTCCCCCCTTGACATCTTTTAAATACAACTTGTCCATGGAGGACAGCAGGGGAAAGCCACTCTAGACTAGCTTGGGATGATACTAAAGGGGTTATACTTTAAGCAAGCATTAGGGAGCTCCTGCAGATGGAAGGGGTATATTAGCAATGCACGTTAAAGTGTTATCCGGCATTGTGTGTAATATGAATCAGAGAAACCCAGTGGTGAGGAAAGCAGAATAATAATAATGCACTGTCCCCTAGATGTGTTGAGGTGGTGCAGTAAGTGGGTAGCAATGGTTGTGGTGAAGGTACATGTGAGCTATGCAGGAATGATGCAGATGTAGGTATTCTGTTAAGCAAGAGTAATGAATTGCAATACCCACTAGAAGAACAAAAATTAAATATATGAACATAAGTATAATCTTCAAGCTAGCTGATGAAAAAAAATGAATCTGGACTTCCCACCAACAAATGTTGGTGGCTAAGTAAACCAATACTTAGAAGTTACATGAAGGGATAGCTAATGTTGGCAACTTTTAGCACAAACCTTCATTGTGACTAATTATATCTCTGAAAAAAATACTTTAACTCTATTAACAGGTAAATTTTATCAAAATCCCCGGACTTTTTTTTTATTCTATGAGTGGTCTCAGTTTACAAGTGGAAAGGAGCATGTCAGCAAACCCTGGGGAGTGACTAAATCCAAGAAGCATGGTCCCCAGGAAAACGTAAAGCCATTGTGAACAACAAACCTAATAGTCCTTAAAAATAATTTAAACAAAAGGAGAAGAGACATTTCCAAGCATTTTTAAACAAGCAACACCAACGGACAATGGTTTTCGCTACTGAACATCCCAGAGAGAAATAGGGAAGCCTACTTCTGCAACTCTTTCTTCTACAACGAGAGAGAAGAGAAAAGACATTTGCTTTACACGTTGACCACTCCTCCACCTGATTGTAAATACAATCAGAATTTACAGGGTAGCATGTGTGAGGTCATGGGCATCATACAGAGAATCCAAGGGTGATTCAGGACAGTCCCTATGGTCAAGGAGCTGGACATTCACATAAAATAGATGAAACTTAACAAAGGGTAGCATATACCAAATGCCAAATGATAGACGTAAATAATCACTACTACAGAAATTAGAAGGATTCCAGGGCTAAAGTTGCCAGGGAACACTTCAGAGATGGAGCAGAGCTTGAACGAATGGGACCCCTGATTAGTGAAGAGGAAGACAAAAAGATTCCAGGGGCAGTATGCAGATCCATTATCCTTCAGGAAACACACAGAGAAAAGGAAACAGTGAGGAGTTGAGTATTACGAAAGGAACATGAAAATGGGAATAAAATTTGAAAAATAAATTATTAAGGTTTACTTGAAGAAATTTTTGCAGCAACCACTCCGTCAAAAAAAAAAAAAAAATCAAATGAGGAAAAAAAGTAGTTTATCCAGTTCCTTGGGTGAAAAAGACCAGATGTATATTGGAGGAAGTTTAAACAAAGAGGTAAAAAAGTCACTGGGACCCTGTGCCACACATCCTAGATTATTAAGGGAACTGGTAAACATACACATCAAATCATTACATTTAAATACGTCATGAACAACTCAGGAGATACCAGACTACTGGGAAATAAAACGAAGAACAGATCTTCAAAAGATCTACAAAGGAGAATGTCTAATAAAATTATAGTATTATATAAAATCTTAAAGTTGGATAGGACAATTGTTCAAAAATCTTTTAAAATTCCAGAGTAGTGGTTTCTAAATCTACTCTCTCCAGAGCCTTTTTAGTATTTTATTATACTCTATTCATAGATTACATTTTCTTTGGGGAATTTGCTTAAATTTATATAGCTGATGTTTTCCTCTATACCCAGAGTTTCTTTGACAGCATATTTTATTTCATATTCTAATCTCTCTCAGTCTTTTCCTTTCATTTCACTGACCTGTCTCTTAATCTATCCTCTTGTTCTACCTAGATGCTACTGATATCAGGATGACAAAAAAACATGCACTGCTCTGATGAAATCCTCTTATGATCAGCAGGCAAAAGGCAAGTAAAAGGAATTAGGAGTCTAGTTCTGGTGTCTCCCAGGGCCCTAATCATAATGTAGTGTTGGGACACAAGCCTAAGAACTGGATAGTGTGGCTTTCCATCGTGTCCTACATACACGTGACATGTTCTCCAGTGGCTACTTCTACACTCCCAGACATACAGTTTGGTCCACACTCCATGAAAAGAGATATGAAGTAGTCATGGCTCAGGTAAGAAATGATTCTGAGACGTTCTTAACCTTGTACTAATCATTTATAATGTAGAAGGCAACAAGCAAGGCACTGCTAAGATGTAAAGTTGAATAAAAATTCATCTCCTGTGCTTAGGAACACATACCATCTAGAAATTTGAAAAACTGTCAACTGAGAGACTTCAAGAGACAGCAACCAGGAGGATGGCCCTGGGTTCTGATGCAAAGTAGGGCAGGCCTGGTCCACAGGGGCAGATGAGTGTGTGTTTAGAGGGGGAAGCAGGCAGGGGAGCAAGGAAAAGAGATGAGCTAAAGAAAGAAGAAAAGTAAACATTATCCTTTCCATGTCATGAAAGAGTACTTCAAAAGAAGAATGCTAGTTTGGGGATGGAAAACAACAAAATTCTCTTCTAGAGGTTTCCTAACTCAAATCTCCTGAATTTCTCATGCCTCATTTCTTCAACCTGGGACTCATTAAATTAACTCCTACTGAGTACATAAGTAAGTATCAGACATTGTGATGCCCAAATGAAGAAGTCCTCAAGGAAGGCAGCTGAGGTTTTCCTAGAAGAACCCATCTAAGATGGCAGTGTTCTAAGATGGCAGGGAAATGAAAAGTTCTACCATACATACACATGGTGCTGTGATAATGTAGGAGAGGGAAGGATTTAATCCCATCTGGCAAGCAGAAGAAAAAGTCTTCCTCCAATTTAAGTCCAGGCTAAACAGATAAATAGGAATCTATCGAGGTAAGAAATCCTCCATTCCACACATTCCACACATTCCACACAAGCCATCCACAGCATGGCACCTCTGTGGCCTAAAGATGGCCTGCACTTCACAAAGAAGAGGGCAAGCAGCGCCCAAGCACCAGAGGAGACTGGCTGGAGGGGGACACTCTGAAGCCAGTCCCTCGAGCACCACTGAGAGATTTGGGCTTCATTCTCTAGCTCAGAGGTTGGCAAATGCCCAGCCACGGGCAATTCCAGCCTCCAACCTACAGCTGATGTTGGAATCGATATCAAGCTAAAGTGGTTTTTACTTTGCTAAGAATCAAAAGAAATAATATTTTGCAACGTGAAAATTACATGATATTCAAATTTTAGGTTCTTCAATAAGGTTTTCCTTGGACATAGCCACACCCAATTGTTTACATATTGTTCATAGCTGCCTTCAAGATCCAAGGACAGCATGGAGTAGTTGTGACTGTCCCAGGACCTCATGCAAAGCCGAGAATATTTACTATCAGGCAGTTTATAAAAAATGTTTGTCAACACTGCTCTAGGTTAATGATTTTCAGTGTGGACACATCCAAGTGGTTACAAAAGATATCCCCTTGGGGTACAGAAACAAAATATTAGAACATTTATTTATGTTGCCATGCTTAAAAAAATAAAGCAAGTTTTTATTAATATTTATTCTATGGACTGAGTGTGGATGCCACACTTGTGCTTACATCGAAAGGTCCTGGTTTGCATGTGATATTCCAAGGGAGGGGCGGAACTTCTGCATGGTGGTGCTGGCTCACACCAATCATCACTGGCCCATGACTGGCTTTCAGTGAACTGCTGTTTTCAGTTTATGGGGTACAAAATGTCACTCGGGTAAATTATATAAGACCTGTAATGAATAGAACTGATGGGGCTCTGAACAGGATACCCCAAAATACGACACCTTGGCATACTGAGTCTTTTAAGCTGAAGGAAACTGAAATAAACCACAGAAGCAGGTCTCTCTGACCTTCTTCCATGCTTCCTGCTCCTGAAGTGGACCATAGAAACTATGATTCTTTTCACCCCTTCTTCCCTGAAGCAGGCCATAAAACCTAGGAAGGTCATTCTCTGACCTCCCTCCCTCCTCCCCTAAAAACCTTCATGTGACAGATGTCTTGCCCTTTCCCTGGAGATAAGAATTGCCACACAGGGATGCCAAGAAGAATCTGAACAGGCCTTGTTAAGAGTCTCCCAGCCTGGTACCATTAGATAATACTCTTTGTCCTCCAATCGTACTTCAGCATGACTGTTCTTAAAATACACAGCTTTCCCTTGGTATTTGGATCTTCATTTCTGAAGGCTCCTGTGTCATGTAAAACTTATATTAAATAAATGTGTATGCTTTTCTCTTACTAACCTGTCTTTTGATATAGATGTCTCAGCCATAAACTCTGCAATGAGTAAGTAAAAGATACTACTTTTTCTCCCCTACAGAACCATTATCATAACTTTCTACTAACTGGAGAATGACTGTGAAAATATTTTGGACCAGAAAAAGGTTTGGCATATCTCATGGGGTAAACATAAAAGAATTATTAATATAAAAGACAAAGCTGAATTATGTATTTTCTTTTACAAAAGGTCCCCAAACCCACAGACTTGATGATAACATTCCAGTAACACTGATGCCAGCAACATTCATCTTGGCAGATGCTTTTTAAAAAAGAAAAAAAAAGTAACAAACTGAAAAAATAAAGAAACAACCAAAAAATCTCTGGTAAGAATACAGAGAATTTTGGAGGAAAAAAAAAAAGTTTAGTAATGTTTCTATTGTCATATAACTTTGTTGCTGAAAATCATATATGTTAACTATAAAAAAGATTAACCATGTAATAGCTCTAAAATGTACTAGGACTGTTGAAAGAAGCCAACACCAAGACCAAGCGAATAGCAAATGATTAAGTTTGAGATTTGAAATTAGACAGACTTGGGTTTGACCCCTGAATCCACCACAAGGAAACAAGACACCTCAAATGAAATCCAGAAGAAACAAGAGACAGCAGAATCAGATAAATACAAATTTCAGCTATTAGATCAAATACAGAAAAAATAGTTTTAATATATTAAAGAAAAAAGGGGACATGAAAATATGAGTAAGGAATAAGAGACTATTTTTCAAAAAGCATATTCAAAAAAAATTAGGTATTTTAAAATGAAAACTATGATTGAAAATTTCTTTTTAAAAACTCAAACTCAAGAGATAGTATAAAAGGCAAACTAGATACAGCTGAAGAGAAAATTAACAATCAAGAAAATATATCCTTTCTTAGTTTTTCTTTGCCTGATCAAATATTAATACTAAGAGAGGTACATCAACAGTCTCACTAGAAACAGAAAAAAATACCAGCACACCATTTAAAGCCATCTTTTCCAGAGGGGCAGAGAGGCCCGTACAAATGTACTGAATTCAGTCAGTAAGAATAAACGCTGGAACGTATTGAGCTCTTACTCTGTGTAACACAAGGTGTTAAGCGTATTACAAATACATCTCCTTTTATCTTCACAGTGATCCTATGGAGTGGGTACAGATACAGAAAGATGGAAGGTCTACACTGGGGCTCAGCAAGTGCCTTGCTCAAGGTCACAAAACTAGTACGTGTAGAAACCAACGCATAATCTCCCAATTTGCCTGATTTGTAGCTAACTTGATATACCCAATAGAGGTCAACAGGAATATATCCTACTATCCTCTATCCTCAGTCCTTGACCTTGATAAACCATATCCTCTCTGCTGAGAAAGACTCTCTCTTTGTCCAGCCCTTGAGCCATATTCTTGACTGGGCCCCGACCTTGGGTTTCCGTGTCCAGTTCTAGCAAGAATCCTGCCAAGTCAGTTTAGGGAGAATGCCCCCGCCCCTCACCTTCATATCTGATCAAGTTCCTCATCCCTACTCCCCCAATCCTTCATGTCTGAGCCCTTGGTCTCCCTTTAGCAGGAAGCCTGTTAGGCCAATTTAGCAAGAATCCCCCTACCCTGATGTCTTCTCTTAGTGATTTTCCACCACTGACCCCCTCACTCTGTTCCTTGCCTATAAATTCCCAGCTGTCTTTGCTGTATTCAGAGTTGAGTCTGATCTCCCATCCCTATGGCAATGTCCCTTTTGCAACAGTCTTAAATAAAATCTTACTTACTTTTTTAACAAGCATCAGAATAATTTTTTCTTTAACAACATATTACAATTTTCTGATTTGTACAGTCAAAAAGATGACTGTGGAAATTTTTTAAATGGAAATTGTTAATACAAATTATGTAATTAGCACATAACTATAATCCTTGAGATCAACCCCATTAATATCTCTGTTATAACCAAGACTTTTTATAATAGAATTTTGTTACTTTCATAATTTATTGTCCTGTTGCTCTATGTTATCACTCTGGTCTAACACCAGATAGTCTCAAATCCTTACATTCCCTTTTGGGAATGCAAACTCCATGCTGCAGAGAGTTTTATCAGCATACACACATGCACAAACACACACACACACAGCCCACTGACTCAAACAATGTATTAGAGTAGCGTTTTGATGTTCTACATGCAAAGATCAGAAGAAGTAAAAATATTAAACTGTACATTGAAAATTGCCCTACAGATTACTATATCATTTCCCCCTTGCATAAAGAGATATGAAAGTAACAGACTGCGTTTGAGGTTTACATAAAGTCCCATGAATCAAAATGGCCAATCTTTGAGATGAACCCTAAAGTGTGTGTGTGTGTGTGTGTATGTGTGAATCTTCTATGTTCACCTACCAGTTTCTCCAGCTGTTTTGTTCTTCCCATGAGGCTTATATAGAACATAAGAGCATCCTTTTACATGGAAGTGATCATTAATTTGTCTAAACCACCTGAAAATAACAAGAAGATTTGCTCATAGCAACAGATTTCATAACAAACATGGCATTATTCCAATTCTAAAGAAATTCAGGTATACCCAAGTTTGCCATAGCTATGAGAGGTTGAGGCCCAGTAGCCAGCTACATGGTTTACTATCAACACACATCTACAGCATTATCACTTTCTAAAACTAGAAATAAGGTATTACCTCTAAGTGGGTCTTCATACCTCATAAGTGTTGTATTTCCAGTGAAAGGACCAAATCTAATATCTTCAAATGGAGGCTGAAAGCCCAAAATATGTAAAGCTTCCTCTTGAGTAATAGGTGGAAGACTGCAAAAGAAACATTGTCTTTCATTTTATAATTCTAATCATATAGAAATACAACCTATCTCAATGTTAATGTCTAACTTGCAAACAATTTTTGTAATGTTTATCATTTTTATTTTATTGAAAATAATTCATATATTTTAAGCTAAAAACTGTATACTAAAATACGGCAGTATTTTTCTTAATTTATGAAAAATCTATTTTTAAAAATCTACCATTATAGAAAAAGTAATGCCAAATTACTTTTGAATTTGTAGTTTGGAGATACCAATACATTGATATACTTACTTTCCAGCTCCCATTGTGCTATATAAGAAATTCCAACAAGAAATTAATGAGGAGATACCACAAGAAGTCTTATATTGTGGTCGGCTTATGCAGTACCTGCAAAAACAAAAGACTGTTTTCTTCACTGGAATGGTACAAAATATTCATACTAGAAATATAAAACTCACAGCAAATAAAAGTGTTAATATAATGAAAGTAAAATCTTCTCTCAAAATATTTTCGTACTTATTAATCATGTCATAAATATATAACAATAAATCATTCATTTTAATAAAAATATCTAAGTATGACTAACTACTAAAGTGGATGTTACCCAAACCAATGGAAAAAGTTTAAAGATATACAATTTAGACATCCCCTATTAAAATTTTGGTGTAAACTCCTAGATGAGCTTCATAGATGATTAATTTGCAACTTCAGAAATACTAGAGAAACAAAGCATTGCCTTCTATGTATCAACTTCTCAGAGAGATTCTTCAAACTAAAAAACATCCATTTATCACCCCCATGTCTATCTAAAATCCTTGCGCAAGAAGCCATGAAGTGGTGGCTCTATTGTCACAGAGGGTTTTAAAAGTGAAACACACAGCCCTTCCATGGCACAATTCAGTTACACTGCGTAATCCAGATAATTTTCAAAATGGTCACGATTCAGCAGAAGAAACTGAGGCTAATTTGAACTGAAGGTAAAAGACACAGACTATTCCAATTTTAAGGAATAAATCGGTTCGCTTTTAAATTATCTTTAACTGCTTTCTAATGAAGAAGCTAATGAGTGGCAAAAATGAAATGGAAAAACAAGCCCAATTTTAGTCTTGTCTGAAAAATTAATTACAAAAAGAAAAGTTATATGTATGTATATGTATTTGTATATGTACATATAATATGCATATTGGTACATATACAAATCAACAATCACCTTTGAATCCATAGACTGAAGTATGACCATGAAGACACTGAGACACAAAAGCTAATAATGATCACTTAACATAATATACTAAGTTCTGTCTTCAACACCTTCATTGTCACGTCTGTTGAGTCTTGAAGTGGTAAAAAAAACATATAACATAAAATTTATGTTAACCATTTAAGTGTACAGTTCAGCAGTGTTAACTGTGTCCACCCTGTTGTGCAACAGATCTCTAAAACTTTTCATGTGGCAAAACTGAAATTCTGTACCCCTTGAACAACTCGCCTTTTCCTTCCCTGGCAACCCCCATTCTACTTTCCGTTTTTATGACTTTGACTACTTTATATTCCTCATGTAAGTAGAATCATGCAGTTTTTATCTTTTTGTGACTGGCTTATTGCACTCAGAATAATGTTCTTAAGGTTTACCCATGTTTTAACATATAGCAGGATCACCTTCATTTGTAAAACTGAATAATATTCCATTGTACATATGTATTAATACATACTGTACCACATTTTCTTTATCATCTCATCCACTGGTAGACACTTGGTTTACTTCCACCTCTTGCCTATTGTAAATAATGCTGCAATAAACATGGGAGTGCAGATATCTCTTTGAGATCACGCTTTCAATTCTTTTTGGCTATATATCCAGAACTGGGATTGTTGGATCATATGGTAGTTTTATTTTTAATTTTTTGAGGAATCTACATACTGTTTTTCATAGAGGCTGTTATATCATTTTATATTTCCACCAACAGTACAGAAGAGTTCCAATTTCTGCACTTCCTCACTAACACTAGTTATGTTCTGGGGTTTTTTTTGACACCATGGGCGTGAGGTAATATCTCACCGTGGTTTAGATTTGCATTTCTCTAATGATTAGTGATGTTGAGCATCTTTTCATAGGCTTTTTAGCCATTTGCATATCCTCTTTGGAGAAATGTCTTTTCAAATCCTTTGCTCATTTTTTAATTGAGAAAATTTGATTTTTTGTTGAGTTGTAGCAGTCCTTTATATACTTTAAATATTAACCTCTTATCAGATATATGATTTACAAGTATTTTCTCTTATTCTACAGGTTGCCTTTTTCGCTCTATGGATTGTGTCCTTTGATATATATAAATTTTTTGAGTTTGATGCAGTCCCATTCGTCTATTTTCACTCTTGTTGCCTGTGCTTTTGGTGTCATGTTCAAGAAATCATTGCCAAATCCAATGTTAAGATTTTCCCATTTTCTTCTAGGAGTTTTGTAGTTTTAGGTCTCACATTTAGGTCTTCAACCATTTTCAGTTCATTTTTATGTATAGTGCAAGGTAAGTGTACAACTTCATTCTTTTGCATGTGCTTATCCACTTTTCCCAATACTATTTGCTAAAGAGACTGTCCTTTCCCCACTGTGTCATCTCACCACCCATGTCAAAGGTCATTTGACCACATATGTGAGGGTTTATTTCTGAGTTCTCTGTTCTAATTCATGGGTCTGTATATCTGTCTTTATGCCAATCCCACAGCATTTTGATTAGTGTAGTTTTATAGCACGTTTGAAATCAGGAAGTATGAGGTCTCCAACTCTATCCTATTTTTCCAAGATTGTTTTGGTTATTCAGGGTATCCTGAGATTCCCTATGAATTTTAGGACTTTTTCTATTTCTACAAAAAGAGTGCCGTTGGGATTTTCATGGGTATTGTATTGAATCTGTAGATCGCTTTGGACATTTTAACAATATTAAGTCTTCCAATCCATGAACATGAGATGACCTACCATTAATTTATGTTTTTAATTTCCCTTAGCAATATTTCTTAGCTTTCAGTACACAAGCCTTTCACATCCTTGGTTATGTTTATTCCTAAGTATTTTTATTCTTTTTTATGCTATTGTATAATGAAAGGATTATTTTCTTAATTTCCTTTTTTGATTGTCCATTGTTAATGTACAGAAATGCAACTGATTTTTGTGTTGATTTTGTATCCTGCAACTTTGTTAAATTCAGTTATTAGTTCTAATAGTTTTTTTTTTTTTTTTGAGACAGAGTCTCACTTTGTTGCCTAGGCTAGAGTGAGTGCCGTGGCATCAGCCTAGCTCACAGCAACCTCGATCTCCTGGGCGCAAGCAATCCTCCTGCCTCAGCCTCCCGAGTAGCTGGGACTACAGGCATGCACCACCATATCCGGCTAATTTTTTCTATATATATTAGTTGGCCAATTAATTTCTTTCTATTTATAGTAGAGACGGGTCTCGCTCTTGCTCAGGCTGCTTTCGAACTCCTGATCTCGAGCTATCCGCCCGTCTCGGCCTCCCAGAGTGCTAGGATTACAGGCGTGAGCCACCGCGCCCGGCCAGTTCTAATAGTTTTTTGTGGAATCTTAGAGTTGTCAACATATAAGCTTATGTCATCTGCATGATCATTTTATTTTTTCTCTTCCAATTTGGATGCCTTTCATTTCTTCTTCTTGCCTAATTGCTCTGGCTAGGCCTTCCAATTCTATTCTGAATAGAAGTAGCAAGAGTGGGCATCATGCCTTCATTCTAATCTTAGAGGGAAAGTTTCCATTTTTCACCACTGATTATGATGTTACCTTTGCGCTTTTCATATATGACCTTTATTACATTGAGATAGTTTCCTTCCATTCCTAATGTGTTGACTGTTTTTATCATGAAAGCATGTTGAATTTTGTTAATTTTTTTTCTATATCAATTGAGATGATCACTTTTCTGTTCTTGATTCTGTTAATGTGGTGCATTACATTGGTTGTGTTGTTTGTTTGTTTGTTTGTTTGTTTTAACAGATGGAGTCTCGCTCTGTTGCCAAGGCTGGAGTGCAGTGGTACAATCATACCTCACTGCAACCTCAAACTCCTGGGTTCAAGCAATCCTCCTGCCTCAGCCTCTGGAGTAGTTGGGACATGAGGCACATACTACCACCTCTGCCTAAATTTTGTTTTTAGTTTTTTAGAGACAGGGTCTTGCTGTGTTGCAAGGTTAGTCTCAAACTCCCAGCCTCAAGCAATCTTCTCACCTTAGTCTCCCAAGTTACTGGGATTATAGGTGCTAGCCATCATACCTGGCTCTACATTTATTAATTTTTTATGTTGACCCATCTTGAATTCCAGAAGTTAAATCTCACTTGGTCATGATATATAATTTTTTAATGTGCTGTTGAATTCAGCTTGCTAGTGATTTATTGAGGATTTTTGTACCAATATTCATTACAGATATCGATCTATATTTTTCTTTTCTTGTAGTATCTCTGTAGTATCTCTTGTAGTATCTTTGGTATTAGGGTAATACTGGCCTTATAAAAGTGAGTTCAGAAGTGTTCCCTCCTATACAACTTTTTGGAAGAGTCTGAGGAAGATTGGTGTTAATTTGAGTTTTGCCCCAGTTTTTAACATTCCAGAGGGCCATGGTGTTCTCAAACCTCAAAATACAGGCAGCCTGTGTTCCATTCTTATAATTACTACCTTCCCACAATTCACTAGAGACAGTGTCCTCAGCTAGAAGTCAGATAGTAAGATAATAAAGTGGTGGTTGGCACAGCGTCTCCTTCATTCTCCCACCCCACTAAACTGGATCTCCACAAAGGACTTCACTGCTTCTTCCCTGATGCAACTGTTCATACCCCTATATCTAACCACTAATGGTTTCTGGACCAATATGTGAACTTTTAAGGAAACCTATATTATTTGAGGCACTCTTAGTGTCTTCTCTCTGTTGGTCCAGAATGCACAGGATTTAGTATATTTTAGAGCCTATGTTTTGAGGATGTTGTTATTTCTTTGTCAAAGGGAAGATGGGGTTTTTTCCTTGTTTTTCATTTTGTTGTTGATGTTGCCGTTATTTTCATGGGTCTGTGGCAAGGAGTGGAATTTTAAAAACCCTTTACTCTGTCATATTTAAATTTCTCCATTCCCATCTTAAACATTTCATAAACCCTAAGAATCAACCCTAGGCATCCCACCAAAACTAGTTTTTCCCCAGTGACATTTGATCCTCTTAAGGTTCAAGGTGGCAACGAATTCATTGGAGTACTCTTAACTGTTTTAGTGAGAAGGCTACTAGAAAACACGTAAGCAATTTACTAATGTCCTTATTCAAGTAATCTCCTGCCCCTATTGTTTACATGAGTGTGAACTTCAACCTAAGCGATCTTGTGGACAAGTGATGATTAAGGACCCTGTAATCACACTATACAGCTCCCTACCCCAATGAAACACAAGAAATTCATTCATTCACTTTGGTTTTTTGCTGTGAACATTTTTGCCAAAATTCAATCATTGGGATTATTTTATAAATCCAATACTATATAGTACTTTATATGTTATAAAATTTATCTTTATGTATATTTACATAGAAAGTTTTATATGTATACATATATTTTTTTTATAACACTAAGTTTGGCCTTAAAGTAGTAAAAAAAAAAAAAACTCTATCAAAATTTTAGCATTTATTAAATCTAGATAAGAATTATATGGAATCACATAGATGATTTTAATGATCAATCAAGTCTGGGAAATACTGGCATAATTCATTATTAATCTGCTTCAAACATTCGTGGTACACTTTGAATATTTAGAGATCCTGGAAACAATTTTAAAGCTAAAAGTATTTAATAAACATATAATGTATTAATTTATAAACCATAGAATTATTGCCCAAATATATATTTCAAAAATTAAGAAATAAAAACTGATATAACAACATTACCATCGTCTGAGGTCCAATACTTTCCTCTGCTTAATATCTTCAAGAAGAGAATGCTGAGGACACTCTCTCTGAGATCTTCCTTTTTTATCTGAAGTTTTTTTCTTGAAAATTTGTTTCTTTGCATTACCTAGAATACAAGAGTATAAAATAAACAACATTGTTAACATGAAGTAAACTACAATGGCAAAAATTAGTTAAGTACCAAATTAAGAAGTAACTGCCACTAGTTCTTAAAATGATATTTGTAAACATACTAAATAATAAATGTATTTTCAAAAAGAGTCTCCTACCTTAAAGGGAAAGAGATAATAAAAACAAAAATTTTAAACCATGAATGCTATTTCCTCTCAAGTTCTAATATTTCAATTCCAGAGCTAGTCACTAAGCAAATAAAAGAATGAATCACAAAATCTTTAGCCACATCTAGAAAATCAAATTACCAACAGCAAAGTATTTAACTAGACCACTTTCCAGAGAAAGAAGCCTTTCTATAAAACAATAAAAGCACATTAATGCAACTCTATTAAAAAAGTAAAAGCTCTGGATCTAATAATGTGATGATGTAATGTTTAAAAATATCTCCAGGCCTACAGAGACCACAAAATGAATTAAGAATGATGCACACATGTACATTATTAAAATGCAATGTTAGCACCAGGAACTAGAATGGAGAACATGGTCTCTTTTCTTTGTGCATTTTTGCATGTATGTATGTATGCATGTGTATATACACATAAACACACACACGCCTGCACACACACACACTCTACAAAAAACACCCAAGACAAACAGTGGTTACCTATTGTGGAAGAGGGAATAGGGAACTGGGCAAAAGGGAGACAAAAGTGAATGTGAAATTTTACACTATTTAATTTTTACACTTTTTATTTCTTAATGATGGATTATTCAGTCAAAAAATTATATAAATTAAAATATTAATAACATCTAAGTCTCATTTCATTAAAATACTATTAACATTTCAGATAGCTATGCTCAAATGCTTTAATTTCTTTCACACATATACTATTTTATTTTTATTTATTTATTTATTTTTGAGACAGAGTCTCACTCTGTTGCCCAGACTACAGTGCCATGGCGTCAGCCTAGCTCACAGCAACCTCAAACTCCTGGGCTCAAGCAATCCTTCCTCAGCCCTCCCAGGTAGCTGGGACTACAGGCACACGCCACCATGCCCACCTAATTTTTTCAATTTTTAGTAGATACAGGGTCTCGCTCTTGCTCAGGCTCATCTCGAACTCCTGAGCTCAAGCAATCCTCTTGTCTCGGCCACCCAGAGTGCTAGGATTACAAGCATGAGCCACCGAGCCCAGCCTATTTTAAATTAAATAATCAAATCTGTTATAAAAATTAACTGAAGGCTAATATTTGTATCAGTTATTCATAAATTAGAAAACACAGTTTATATAGATATACGCCTAGTAAACAAACATGGGAAAGGATTCATTTTAATTATTCAAGATACTCTACCATAAAACCATGTGGTATCCAAAGCCAGCTGGAACTCAGGAACTATCATTAAATAAAGAATTTCTGTAAATGTTACAATAGTAAAGACTATAAAGTCATGAAACAATGTTTCCCCTTCCTTTTAATTATTCTGTCTTTACAGAGAACACAACATTTTTCATGGAGCTAAACAACTGCTGGGAAACATGAGTAAAATCTCACTGTGCCAAAATTCCTTCACTGGTAAAAATGAATCTTAATCAGAAGACAGAAAAATGTTTCTAACATTTTTGAAATGTCTTTCCTGCCTAATAATGACTTGATGCCTAAAGTAGTTTTCCCAGCCACTTAAAATTTTAAGACTAATGAAACATCAAAATCCATGACCTCAATAGGCCCAGAGAGTGGCCTGTACTTTCCTCTGAGGGTTGCCTAAGTCTGCCTGCTATTCTTTTTATTGAATCCTATGATTCCCCCTGGGATAAATAAGCACATATGTTCCAAATGAGCATACTTCATAAAATCCCCACGCTGCCACAAAGAGATCTGGTCCTACAGGCACAATTTCATTCAATGTGAGAAAAGGAAGCTATGTCAAAGTGGAAGCTAAGTTTGAGAGAGGAACACCTGAGCACTTTCCCCTCCCCATCACATCAACTCCAGCAACCTTTGCCCACTGCCCTTTGTCATTACCATGCTCTGTCTTCCATTCATCACCCTACCCACAACATACCCACATGGTCCAACACCAAAAATACATATGTATTCACATACTGGCTTTTAGAGAAAGGCATGAAGATAGCAAATAAAAATAGAAAAAATATTTTTTATTTGAACAACCCAAGGACAGAGTTCTGCATAATCACCATCACTGGAGGGAAGAGGGAACCTAGAAAGAAGACAGCCACAGAAAAGAGGAGGTCCAAATTCTGTGGATAAATTTGGCCAAATCTTGGGCTGACCCCTGAACCATGCATGCAAAGAATAGACCCCAAAAGCAACACAGCTAAGGCTAAAAGAAATGAGTTGGGACTGGAACTGTCCCCCAGAGACAGAATTTGCAGTTTTAGTGAAACCAAATTAACTGCCTACCAAAACCAAAAAAACAAAAACAATAATTAATACTCTTTGGAGGAATATACCAGAGTTGCCGTAACAGTCCCACTATGTAGGATACAATGGAAAATTATAGAACATGTGAGGAAATTGAAAACTATGACTCATTCTCAAGAAAAAAGATAAGGCCAATTCTGAGATGTGCCAGATTTTGACATTTGCAAATAAAGATCTAAAGTAGGTATTATAATGATGCATTATGAGATAGTTAAATGCTCGTCATAAATGAAAGGACAGCAAATCTCAGATGAGAAACAGAAGCAATAAGAATGTAAATTCTAGAACTAAAATAAATATATGGAAAGGATATACCATGCAAACACTCATCAGAAGAAAGCTGAGGCAGCTATATTAGTATCAAACAAAACAACTCTCAAAGCAATAAATATTGCCAGGTGTAATGAAGGATATTTCATAATGATAAAAGGGTCAATTCATGAAGAAGGCATAAAACTCATAAATACGTGTATACCTAATAACTGAGCTTTAAATTAAATTGTTTTTAAATCAACAGAATGGAGTATAGGAAGCATCAGGAATCTGTCTTCCCACCTAGACAACAATTGCACTGGCAGAATCTGTCTGATGTAACTATTTTGGAATCTGGAGTCTATTCAAAGCATTGCAACTTTGGGGAGGCCTTGAACAGTAAATTGTGGTTAATTTTGGACAATTTCAGCTCATAGCCAGGTAACAGCTACCCATGCCCCAGCCCAGTGGTGGGCAACCATGCATGTCTCCCTGAAGTAGCTCCAGGTAGCTTATTGGAGCCAGGCTGGGCAAAAAGGACCATAACCTACAAAAATTGAGGATCTGTTCTATGGCCTTACCACTCTGAATGTGCCTGATCTCCTCTGATCTCAGAAGGTAAGCAGGCTTGGGCCTGGTTGGTACTTGGATGGGAGGATCTGTGTTCTGATTGCTGATTGCTGCTTCTGATCATGGTGGGCAGCCATTGTTGCACCCCTCCCCACACTGTTGCAAGCCCTCCCCTTCCAACTGAATCAACTTCCAGGGAATTTAAAGGGCAAACCCCTTCAGTTTGTTTATTTTTATTTGTTTGTTTTTCTGTTTTTGCTATCCTTCACTATTCTGTTGTTTGGGTTTTTTTTTTCCCAATTTTGGAGCCAGACATTTGAAAGTATAGTACATTTAAAAGCAACCACATACACAGGGAAATTCTTTAGAAAGTCCGTGTGCACACCAGGGAAAAGCACAGGCTTAAAAAACACCTGAGAAGCCCTTAAGTTTACACTTTAGACCGATCACCAGGACAAACACAGCCTATAATGATCAAAAAAACAAAAACAAAATCAAAAAACCCTGAGAAAAAGGAAAATCTCATTTCCAGAGTTATTACATTACTATATTACATTTGAAAGTCCAATTTCCAACAACAAAAAAATCACATGATATACAAAAAACAGGAAAATATGGTTCAAATAAAGGGAAAAAAATCCAATAGAAATCATATCTGAGAAAGACCAGATGACAGACTTGCTAGACAAAGTTTTTAAAACCATTCTCTTAAAGGTGCTCAAAGAACTAAAGGAAGATAGATGTATGTATGAACAAAATAGAAATATCGATAAAGAGATAGAAAACCTAAAAAGAAACCAAAAAAAATTCTCAAGCTAAAAAACACAATAACTGAAATGAAAAATTCACTGGAGAGATTCAAAAGTAGATTTGGGCAAGCAGAAGAAAGCATTAGTGAACTTGAAGATAGAACAACAAAATATTACGATTCAGGAACAGAAAGAAAAAAAGATTGAAAAAAAGTGAACAGAGTTTAAGGGACCTGGGGACACCATCAAGTGGCCCAACCCATGCATTGTGGAAATTCGAGAAAAAGAAGACAAAGAAAGGGGTAGAGAGATTATCCAAAGAAACAATGACTGAAAACTTCCCAAATCTGATGAAAGAAATGAATGCAAACATCCAAGAAACTTAATAAATTCCAAGCAGGATGAACTCAAAAAGACCCACACCAAGAAACATTATAATAATAATAAAAGAATCTTAAAAGCAGCATACAAGGGATTCTCAATAAGAATAGCAACAGATTTCTCATCAGAAACTTTAGAAGCTAGAAGTAAGTGGGCTCATATATTCAAAGTACTGAAAAATAAAAAAATAAAAAGTCAAGCCAGAATCCTAGATTCAGCAAAACTATCCCTCAAAAGTGACAGAGAAATTAAGACATTCCCAAACAAACAAAAGCTAACAGAGTTTGTTACTACTATACCTGACCTCCAAGAAATGCTAAAAGGAGTCCTACAGGTTGAAATGAAAGGGCACTAGATAGTAACTCAAAGCAATATGAAGAAATATATATTTCAGCAAAGGTAAATACAAGGGCAATTATAAAAGCTAGTGTTATTTTAACTTTGGTTTACAACTCTACTTTTTATTATAACTTTGGTTTGTAACTCCATTTTTTGTTTTCTACATTAAGAGATTCATGTGTAAAAATCATTAGTTTGTGTTTTGGGACACAAAGTATAGGAAGATGTAATTCCGTGACATCAACAACCAAAAGAGGTGGGAATGGAGCTGGAAAGAAGTAGAATTTTTGTATGTTATTGAAGTTAAGATGGTATAACATCAAATTGGAGCGTTACAACATTAAGTTGTTAAGTGTTATCCCCATAGAAACCACAAAGAAAACAGCTATAGAATATATAAGTACAAACAAAATAAAATGAGTAAGAAATTAAAATATTTCCCTGAAAAAAATCAACTAAACACAAAAGAAGACAGTAATACAGGAAATGAAGGACAAAAAGCCATAAGGCATATGGAAAAAATAGCAAAATGACAGAATTCACTCTTTATCAGTAATTACTTCAAATGTAAATGGATTAAAGTCTCAAATAAAAAGCCAGGGATTTGTAGAACAGACCAAAAAAAAAAGTGATCTAGCTATTAATATATGCTGTCTATAAGACACTCTACTTTTTATTTTTAATTATTATAGGTATATAATAGTTGTATATCTTTATAGGGTATACTGTGATGTTTTGATACAAGAGTACAATGTGAGTTCATCAAATCAGGGTAATTGGGGTATCTATCACCTCAGGCATTTATCATTTCTTTGTGTTAGAAACATTCCAATTCCACTCTTTTAGTTATTTTAAAGTATGCCCTAAATTATTGTTGATTATAAGCACTTTGTTAAAGACACCTTAGATCTAGAGATAAAAACAGGTTGAAAGTGAAGGGGTAGGAAATGATATTCTAAGCAAATAGTAACCAGAAGAGAGCAGGAGTGGCTGTAAATAAGCCCATCACAAAAAGACAAATACATGATTGCACTTACATGATGTACTTAGTGTAGTCAAATTCACAGAGTCAGAAAGTAGAATGGTGGTTACCAGGCACTGAAGGAAGAGGGAATGAGAAGGTATTGTTTAATGGATAGAGTTTCAGTTTTGCAAGATGAAGAGAGACCTGGAGATGGATAATGGTGATGGTTGCATGACAATATGAATATACTAAATGCCACTAAATTATACACTTAAAAATGACTAAGGTGGTAAATTTTATGTCATGTGCATTTTACTAGAATTTTTAAAAAATGTATTGTTTTTAAAAAAAAGAAATTAAATGGAGAAAAGACAACTCCACAATCACAGGTGGTGATTTTTAACACCCCTCTTTCAGCAATTGATAGAATAAAAAAAAAATTAAGCGGAGACACAAAAGATGTGAACAACACTTTGGAACACTTTGACATAATTAATATTTATAGATACACCCAGCAACTGCAGTATGCACATTCTTCTCAAGTGCACATGGTATATTCACCAAGAAAGACCATATGTTGGGTCATAAAACAAGTGTCAATAAATTTAGAAACACTGAGATCATATTTCCTCTGTCCACAGTGGAATTAAATTCAAAATCAATATTTTTAAAAACCCCAAATATCTAGAATTTAAATAGCATACAACTAAGTAATGCATGTATCAAAGAAAAAATCACAAAGGAAACTAGAAAATACTTCCAATTAAATGATAATAAAAATAAAGTGGATCAAAATTTGTGTGCTGCAGCTAAAGTGGCACTTAGCAATTTAGAGCATTATATGCTTATGGTAGAAAAGTGCCAAATCAATGCTCTAAGCTTCTATATAAATAAGTCAGAAAATGAAGAACAAAATAAACCCAAAGTAAGCAGAAGGAAATAATAAAGAGCAGATATCACAATTGAGAAAATTAACAAAGCTAAAAGCTGATTATTTGAAAAGATGAACAAAACTGACAAACCCTTAGCTAAACTGATCAAGAAGAAAAGAGAAAGATAAAATAAATAACCAATATTAGGAATGAAAGAGGAGTTATCACTAAAGACCCTATAAACATTAGGGGAATAACATCAACATTAGGCCTGCAAACTTGACAACTGGATGAAATAGACAAACTAAATTTTGTCAGAAATTAATAAGATAATTCCATAATTATGGTTAGAGATTTGAAAATCCCTCTGAAAATCCTGAGAAAACAGAGGGGAAAACATTTCCCAGCTTGTCTTAGAAGACCCGCATAGCACCAGTTCTAAAATCAGACAAAGACATTATGAAAATAGAAAAGTATACACCTATTACTCAGAAATATAAGGTGAAATCTTCCTCCAAATCTTGAGAATTATAAATTTACATAACACTTAGTGAAACAAATTGATTCTGTAAATGAACAAGCAGAAGCATGGAGGTTTTACAAAATCATCAGTGAAGTCTAGAAGTAAAATACAAGTCCCAGTTCTACTTCTTACTAGCTGGGCAAATTTGGGCAAGAGATTTTATGCCCTCTAAGTGTCAATTTCTTCACCTATAAAATGAGGATAACAGTACCTAGCTCATTAAATTACTGTATTACTGTGAGTTCAAAAGAAAAAAGTGAAAAGCATTAGTATCTGCCACAGGACCATCCCATTGCAATTGTGAAGGTTGAGCACTGCACCCTAGGTGAGCAGCATCCTCTTAAATTTTACAGTATACAACCTATGCAGTAGTACATGGAGGCCTCGCTAGGTGCTCAAAAAATTTTAACACCAACCAAAAAAGCTACAATATTATATAGTAGAAAAGGAAACTAGGTGTTTATTCAGGAAATAAGACTTCGAATGTCCCTACAAAACTATGAAATAGTAGTATATTATTCTAGCCATGTTATTAACCTTTTCTAAGCTACCGTAAACTCATTTATAATATCTGTATTTTACAAGATTCTTAGATTTTTCAAAGCTCTCAAAATATAAAAGTTATGGTTGAAGTTTCCAGTGGCAATGCATTAATGAACTACATGTCCAAGGTTACTTTTTTAACTACAATGACAGATAAGATGCAATTATCCTTGTTCAGTGTCATAAAAGGAAAGTACATTTAATGGCAAGATTAAACAAGATACAGTGTTTATTTTCTCCCTGTTGTCACTTATAAACTTCATGGCTCCTTCCTTACCTGATTTGTGTTTCAAATTTGTGGTCACCCCATCAAATTCAGATTTATCAATTTCCCATGCAAGAGGTAGCTTGCCCAGGCTATTGGATAAGTTTTCCAAGCTATTTTCTTCATTATAGATGATTTCTGATGCACTAGTTGGGATACCAATGTATCTTGATGAATTATTTCCAGCAGACAAAGAGGTACCATCAGGGAGGCAAGAAGAGCGGGCTGGATTTGGAGCTTTATAGATTGAGGTTGCCTGGTTGAGAAAGGCATAGTCTGAACAGATGGCATAAATTTTTTCCCGAGTATGAGTCACTGGACAACTCCATGGATAATGGCCATCTCCTTTGGGACCCAAGGGTGCTCCTGAGGCACTTGTGCAGAAAGATTTTACAGCACCTTGGAGGTTCTCTTCAGGAGACTTTCTCTCAGATTTGTGCTCACCATTTCCACAATCATTTGACCTTTCTGTTTCTGCAATGTTAGGCATTGAATGTCCTGTAAAAGTTTCTACTAGTAGGAGGAAGTTGCAACTCTTTCTGTTTTTTGAAGAACAACCTTGACAATTGTTTACAGCATCCTATAAAACTTGAGTGCTGCAAAATGGGTTCCTAAAAAATGAGGGAGGGAAAAAGAATGATCAACAATCCCCCGGGTACTACAAACAACACCAAAAAATGTATCAAATATTATTCTATGTTTTCATTCAATGTTTGCTTTACAACTACTATATGCCTCCAGTCATGATCACTAACCATATATCTTATTTCAAAAATTATTTTAAATAATGTATTAGAATAACAAGAAAGGCAAATAACCCAATTAAAAAATGAGCAAAGTATCCGAATAGTCTCTTTTCCAAAGACAACATAGAAATGGCCAATAAGCACGTGAAAAGATGTTAAGCATCATTAGCTATCAGGGAAATGCAAATCAAAGCCACAATGACAGACCACTTCATACCCAATAGAATGGCTATCATTAAAAACACAGATACTAACAAGTGTTGATGAGGATGTGGAGAAATTGAAACCCTCCTACATTGCTAGTGGAAATATAAAGTGGTCCAGTTGCTTTGGAACAAAAATCTTTGAACATTTAAACAGAGTTACTATTTGGCCTGCAAATTTCACTCCTACCCAAGAGAAATGAAAACATGTCAACACAAGTGTTAACAGCAACATTATTCATAATAGCTACAAGGTGGAAACAACTCAAATGTTCATCAACTGATAAATGTATAAATAAAATGTGGTACATCCATATAATGGAATATTATTTGGCAATAAAAAGAAGTTAAGTACTGGACACATTCTACAACATGGATGAACACTGAAACACTATAACAAGTAAAAGAAGCCAGTCACAAAGAACCAGATGATGTACTGTTTTATTTATATAAAATGTCCAGAATAGGCAAATCTATAGAGACAGAAAGTAGATTAGTGGTTGCCTAGGGCTGGGGACTTGAGGGTGATGGGATTTCTTTTTGGAGTAATGATAATATTCTATAACCAACTGCGACGAAGAATACATAACTTTGTGGATACACTAAAAGCCAATGAATTATATATTTTAGTGGGTGAAATGTATGGTGTGTGAATTATATCTCAGTAAACCTGTTTAAGAAATAATGCAAAAAAAAAGAAATAATGCATTAGCAATATTATTTAAAAAGCATATAAGCATAAAAGATACATGATAAATAATGGTAAAAGACTTAAATCAACAAAAGATTTATAGAATTTAAATTTTTTAAAGATTCATTACCTGACCAAAAAACAGATCCAATCAATGTATCACTAACTTCCAATCAGTCTCAGGAAAAAACTGAATTGCAGGTCTAAAATAATTCCTTTGGGAAAGAAAAAACATAAAAGTTTACAAAACAACTAAGGTGCAATCAAAGAAGCTGAAGATTTATACAAAAGGGAGTCCTCGGTGAATGAAACCATCACAAGTGATGCAAAGACAACCCTATGCAGGTGCCTGAGCAAAATGTGCTGGTTTCTCTGGGCTCCAACAAGAGCAGCAGGTGAGAGATTCAACCTACCCAGTTGATCCATTTGACTTTTACCAATTGAAAAATGAGAAATGAAAATAACTTCTATAGGTTGCAGAAAAATGAGTATATCAAAACCATCACACAAATACTGAAGTACAAAGACCCATGACTAATGCTGCAAGAAATAACAGAAGAGGATTCACACAAGAACCCCCCAGGTTTTCCTGATCTGTGAAGAGAAACTAGTAAAGATACTGGGCATATCTTCATATAATTTAAGGAAACAGAGCTCCACATAAGGAGACTCCACATGAGCTAGAGAAGATTCCATTTTCTTTACTTTTAAGGCATGCTTTCTCTCTATTCAAATGCTTGGGTAGTGTTTTTTAAAAAATAATTTGGGCAGAGTTTATAGCTGTTTGCAGGAGCGTCAGTTTGGCAGGAGAATCACCACCAGAGGTGGAGCCTCCAGTGGTTTCATTTTGAGAACTCTCACTGTCTTTTTGGTAAAGAAATCTTAAGAGTAGGTGTAGTGGATCCCTAGACGGGAAGCACTCATGCTTTCTCCTTCATTTCATGGTGTGGTGGTGACAGTGGAGAAAGATGCAAAGGGAAGTTCAGTACCAACGCTGTGGAGACCAAACCCTGGTCTTTTTGAAGGACTGAGTTTCTCTGATTCTTAGCACACATCCAAAAGTAGCATTTTCTACTTCTAATCTGTGATCTTCACACTTTTTTTTTTTTTGGAAAGCCAGGGTGGTGGATGGAGGGGTATGTTTTTGTGGTGTTGGGGTTGTGTGGTTGGGCTGTCGTAGGTGGCGGGCAACCCGCAAAGGTTACTGAAGTTAGTTTGGTGACCAGAGATGGAAACATTCCAGGCGCTGTACTTTTCATATCCTCGTCTCAAACTTAGCTTCCACTTTGCCATGGCTTCCTTTCTCAAATAGAATGGAATCTGGCCGGTGGGGCCAGCTCTCTGTATGACAGTGTAAGGATTTTATGACGTATTCTCATTTGTAAGATATATAGGAGAATATTCTTATCAAAAACATAGGCAAAGAGAAATGACTGCATTTGAGCACAAAAGTTGGGGCTGAGCTTCCTGGAACAATAGACAAGAAGGAATGTAGCACTTAATTCATAAAAAGTGTAACAATCTGGTTTTGTTTGTTTGTGTTTTTCATTTGTTTGCTTTTAAATAATGGTCACTGAATAAGAATGATCTCTTTGGTGGTAGTTATACCATAAGAAAGTGAAAATCGTCAACATAAGGATGTATTTAATATTGATTGTAACTAAAAATCAAAGTATCAAAACTTTCTCATTTGAAATAATGCTTATATAAATTCCTCTCTGAAAATCTGTGTAATATTCATAGATTATATAAGTAAAACACATTACAAGAAAAAATTGCCAAGTACCAAAACATATTACACAGAAAATGAAAATTATCCAAATCCCATGACACAAATACTGCTAGTGCTTACTTTCTTTCCATATTGTCTGTCTGTTTCACATCTGTTTCCCCACTGTAGTGAGCTCCACGAGGCCAAGGGGGCTTCTGCTACTCTGTCCTCAATACTTTACTCAAATTTCATCTTTCTTAAAGTGCACTAAGCACAATTTATTACTGATAACAGAATATTATAGACATCAGTTATTGTATTATATTGTAATTACAGCCTCATGAAATTCTGAGGTACAGACAGGCCATTTGTCCGTCCATTTAATGGACAGCCTGCATCTGTCACGGTTTTGTCACATCTTGTATCTCCTTTTGTCTCTATACTCATTTATTTTTAATTTTATTTTTCTTTAGAGACAGGGTTGTCCCTCTCTCACCTAGGCTAGAGTGCAGTGGCATGACCATAGCTTGCTGCAACCTTGAACTCCTTGGCTCAAGCTATCCTCCTTCCTCAGCCTGCTGAGTAGCTAGGACTACAGGTGCACACTACCATGCCAAGCTAATTTTTTATCTTTTGTAGATGCAGCCATGCTATGGTACCCAGGCTGGTCTCCAACTTCTGGCCTCAAGTTATCCCCCCCACTTCAGCCTCCCAAGCAGTTGGGATTACAGGCCTGAGCCACTTTGCCTGGCTTTGTCTCTATATTATAAACCATTCCCAATTCCATGCCCACTCCTAGCTCCCTCACACCCACCATGAGTTGACATTTCTAATCTGACCTGTGCATAGACATTAGAAAATATTTAGAAAATAAAGTTTGCTAAATATATGTGGTCATAGAACTCTCCTGCCTGAAACCCTCTGCTCTTAGAACAAAAGGCCAACCCCCATCTATCAGATTAGCTCCATTTCACCCTCCCCCCTTCCTCTTTGCTTGCTCCACATTACCTAGGCACCCTCCTTTACTTAGTTAATTCCCATTCATCTTTCAAATGTCAGTTCAAATGTCACTTTCTGGGGGAAGCTTTCTTTGCTCCTCCAACTAGGCCAGGTCACCCCTACATCATCCTGTGCCTTTCTTGCACAAGTCTGTCTTACCAGGGTGCGATTTTACACTTATATTTGTGCATGTGTGTTTATATGACGAATGTCTGCCTCCTGGCAAGAGTGGTTTTCCTACTGTATACCCAGGGCCTAGCATTTGTAGAAGCCTCGTTCAACAAATATTTTTTAAGCGCCTACATCATGCCAGGCATCATTGTAAGCCCTCCTTTTGATTGACCAAGGTTCCCTATCCAGGTGAGCGAGGTATTGCTATATTAAGATTTACTACTCAGAATGATTGCAGGACCTAAGGCACCACTTATGGCTTATTCATAAAATCATGAATTGTTCAATTGTGTGCAAATCAAAATTTTATAAAATGGCTAGCTTTAAATGCTCCGCTACATTAACGATTGCTAAAAGTAATTAAACTAATTGTTCTGTAAGATAAATGTTTCATTAGCAAACCCAATACTTTTCTCCTAGGTTGTATTCCTTTCAGGTTGTATTTTAAGCCTGTATTCCTCAGTATCAAGCTTATGAGTGAACTAAACATCTTTAAAACATCTCTTTGGTAAAGCCTTCCACCTATGACAAGTACTATGATCTATATTCTGCATAGAAGGGAACTGAGACGCAGGGACAGTTCGATGACTTAGGAAGGGTCTATATGTGCCAGAGGGCGAGGTCAGAAGTGCTAAGACCCCAGAGGATCTAGTGTCCCTCTTTCCCACCCAATGTCCTCCCCAGCCCCTCCAGACTCCTTCCTCTTCCTCAGACCTGCCCCCTCCCCAGAGCAGAGGCCGCGGGCCTACGTAAGGATACCGGGATTCCTCCGGTGCACGGCTCCCGCAGCAAGCGCAGGATCCCAGGAGGCCAGGAGGGTCCCCACCGCCCTCCTCTGCGAAGCTCGCGGCGCTGCTGGGATCGGAGGCCGCCGGGACGCAGGCGACAGTCGCGCAGGCCGGTCCCAGCCGGCAGAGCCAGTGTGTGCGGAGGCGGTGTCGGCCGAGAGGAAGGAGCGCTGCTGCGCCCCCTGCTTGCCGCCCTCCCGCTGTGGCCGCCCGGGGACCCGCGCGCCCCCGCGTCCCTCCCGATGCCCGGCGTCCCAGTCCCCGCACTGGTCAAGGACCGCGAGGCTTCCTGGCATCCCCCCTCCCCTCTCTACTTAGTCCCTCGCCAGCCGGAAGGCCGGGTTGGCCACGAGGGGGACCGCTTCGAATCTGCCCGGGGACCCGGGGACCTGGGGACGGAGACGCTCGCTCCCGGGGCTAAAGGCGCCCGAAAGAGGGGACGCGGGCAGTTACTGCACCCGGGGGAAGAGGGCAGCCCCGCGATTCGTGTTTTTCCATAAACGCATTGATACCATTAGTAACAACAGTTGCAGAAAAGAAAGTATGAAAGAAAGCCCCTGCCTTGGCGCCCGCCCAGGCCCCTTAGGCGCACAGCGCCACCGGCCCGGCCCGGTTTTCGGGGCAGCGGGCGGGGTGAGGCAGGCTGAGGCGGCTCCGGGTCCGACTGCCGAGCGGACGCAGAGGTGCCCTTCGGAAGTCGCGCGGGAGCCTCCTCCCCGAGACTGCCCCGGCCCGGGTGCGGGCGTGCAAGGAGGGAGGGGACGGCCACCGCTCGCGGGGTTCCCGGACCTTGCCGAGCGTGGCGCGGAGAACGGCGCTCGAAAAGGGACTACCGGTAGCCACCAAATCAAGCTTTGTTCGCGACAGGACTAGCCCCTTCTCTCCATGGCGCTTCTCCTCCCCCTGCGACCCATTTTTTTTACCCTACTCCTTCCCGGAGGACGAGCACCGACGCAGTGGCCTCCATTCGGACGCCACAGGGCTCCAGACAGGCGACGCTGGCTGCGCCTAGAGCAGGCGGGCGGCTGATTCGCGCAGGGCCGGGCGCGCGGCCGGCCGCCACCGCGGCCCCTGCCCACCGCCCCGGGGTGCCTCTGGCCTGGCTGGCGGGGTCGGGTCACTGCGGCCGCGGCGGAACGCGGCACGGGACCCTGATCACACGCCCCTCCAGTTACCCTGGGGCTGGCGTCTCTCTCTCGTCCCATCGGAGGGCGCGGGGACAGTGCCCTGGACTGCGGTTCCCCGCGACGGGTCGTCGGATGTCATTGACAGCACCTTCCTTTCAACGTGTTTTATGCCTGCTCTCTGCACGTGCGGAGGACATGGTAATCCCCCCAAAGATCTTAGTTGTGCCTCCGCCCCCGCGTGCCCCTCTATTGGGCATCTGTAGTATTTATCTGTTCCCTGAAAGCGGTGACCGAAAAGTAAATAAATGAGTGAAAGAGGGTAAAACCTAGCAGGATTTCCGCTTGTCCTGTCGCGAACTACATATCCCAGGGAGCCCGGGGCGCCGGGACGCGTGTCCACTTCGCCATCCACTTGGAGAAGGCCTTACTCAGCCTGGCGCGACACACGGGCCAATCCCCTCGCCCTGCACCTTGGCTGGAACCTGAGACGGATTCGCCCCCAAATGATGCTCCAGTGGCAGGAACCGCACAAGTTTATCCTTGTCCCGAGAAAGGGGAGCAGCGCGGTTCTTGCCCGTTTCAGCAGAACGAGTGGCACCCTTCATCTGGACATGCCAAGGCTCGGGTTGTGATTCTCCTGGGGACGGTGGAGACCCGCGCGCCTGCCCTGCACGTCAGGCGACACTCCGTGGAGCTGCGTTTGCTGCAGTGACCGGCCGACGTGCGTTTCCGTCCACCTCTTACACGTCTTCATTTATCCGTGGATCACTTCGAGAGTCCGTCCTGTAAATGTTTAGCATTTTGCTGCTTTACTGCTTCTTTCTGGGGACCGTTCCAGCACTTGCCGAGACCGGCGAAGAGAGGCGACTGAGCCCGGAGAAGAGCGAAATATGGGGACCCGGGCTCAAAGCGGATGTCGTCCTTCCCGCCCGCTATTTCTATATTCAGGCGGTGGATACATTAGGGAATAGGTAAGTCGAGAAACGGCCCCTTAACTATTTTGGATTGCAATTAAAACTGTGATCTCCCTTCAACTTTTCTCTCTCGAAGACTTTGTTTCTCCATAGCAGTTAAAGTCCAGGATATTTGGGTGCTATTCGCATCTGGTTGTAACAGTGTCCCCGATGAATTTTTCTATGTAACTGTAGAAATAATTCTGAATTATAATATATTATATATAGAATACATAGTATAATAATATATAGAATACATAATATAATAATAATTTTATCTCCTAGCTAGTTTGATAGGGAGTCCCACATTATTAGGGCAAGACAAAGCACCTCCGCCTTGCTGGAAATACTATGAATATTTTCGAACTACTTTTTGCCTAAACTGTGGTAAGGAATTTACCCCCGTTGCTAGAGACTTGGTAGACACCTGCAGGTAAGCATGTTTTGAAACTCAAAAATTAAAATCAAGTACTATGTGAAACTTTAGCGTTTGGATAGAAAGTATCAATGTATGAATCTCCTATATGATTGTAACAAACATTTCATACTAATAAATTAAGTACATTAACATTATACTTAAAACTTACTCTTATAATTAAAAAACTTCTGAAGTGATTGTCTTCATTATTGGTGGATGCTGACTGTGTATATTTTGTAGGGAAAAAAATCTTGGAACAAAAAGATTTTCCAAGCAAAGAACACGAAGATTGTAAATTTTGTAATTTGGCTATAAATACTACAGCTGGGGAAATTAAATAACCTCCTAGCAAGAACACTCACTCCAAAAAAACTTTTTTACAGTGACACTAAGATGACACACTACCTACTGTGTTTTTGCCCATAGCTGTGAGCATGATTTATAATACTGATATTTTAAAGAATCATTGACAGAGATTTTGCAAAATAAGATCATTCTCTTCAGAGGCACCGTTTGATCACAATTTTCTAAATGTGATGGGCATAAAAGAAATAGTAGGTTGATAAGAATATTTCTATATATATGAAATGCGTAAGTATGTTGCAGGCTTATATACATTAGTAGTCTTAACATATTCCTTGTGATTGTCTAATGGAACTATTTTCCTTTTTAAAAGGAAAAATCTCTGATCCATCATATTCATGGTACTAAAAGCATTAGAGAGAAGGTGTAATCATATATTAGAAGAAGAATGTGGAGGAGAATAGTAAAGTTTCCAGACTGAAGAGCATACTTATTGTGCATTTGTTCCTTTAAATAATTTTCATATCTTGTTGTTCTCCCCATGACAGATTCACATCATCTCCAGGTGAAAAGGTGTTCCTGGTAAAAATCTCAGCACCAGAGGAACAATTCACTAGAGTTGGAGTCCAGGTTTTAGACCGAAAGGATGGGTCCTTCATAGTAAGATACAGAATGTATGCAAGCTATAGAAATCTGAAGGTAGAAGTTAAATTCCAAGGTCAACATGTGGCCCAATCCCCATATATTTTAAAAG